TTACTGTTTTTTAGTATAATTTTTTCTTTCTCAAAAAAATTTTTACACTAAATTTTACTTTATAAAACAGTTTGAAAGTTGTCCCAAATGAAGCCTAAATTGCATTCACTAAGAAAACTTTATCATATGCTTTGTTTAAATCTACTAAAATACATATGTAGATCCTCCTTACTCTCTCTATATTTGTCCATGAAACCTCTCAAAAAATGTATAGCTTCCATAATAAATAAACTCGGCATGAATCCAAACAAATTAAACGAAAAAAAAAACTTACAATCAACGGGTAATCGACGGCGAAAACTTGCGGTCGGAACTGGACCTCTCACCGGCGAGAAATGCTATGACGGTCGGCGACGTTCGGTGACCGTCCAGAGAGCTCGGCGACCTCGATTGAAGGCGAGCGACGGAGGGCAACGAGGGAAACAACGGCGATGTGAGAAAAACGCACAAAAGAAATGAGCAACCAGAGGGGCTCGGGTTCGGAAATAGGGCTTTCGCCGGCGGATTTTTCGGCATCCAAGATGCCGGAATGCTCAGTTTTAAATCGTTGAGTTTAAATACACCAGCGCAATATCTGTCGGTAACTGCGCTGGTTATTTTCCGCCGTAAAGTGCGCTGAAACCAGTAAAATGCTGGTCTACTCCGACGTCTTTTACCGGCTCAGTAGACGTTGGAAACGTTCTAGCGCTATATGCGCCGGAAAAAACACCGTAAACATTCTTTCGCACGATGCGCCTTATTTGCCGGCGCAAATTTTTCCGCCGGAAAATCCGACGGTAATCGCGTGTTTCCCGTAGTGCTTGTTGAACCGCTTGATTCTACTATAAGCATGATATATTTAAATATAATTTTGTCATCCAATTAATGCTTTAAACCTTACAAATATATACTTTGGTCCCTTGATTTGGGACCAGTTGGGCTCGTATTGGATCGACTTTGGTATCATTGGGTTCGTCTCACCGAGCGTTCAATTTGATTAAAAGTTTACTTATATTGGAGTCGGATGGTCCCAAATTTAATTTGAAAGTTTTCGACTTAGATATGACTCAATATTTGTGCTCGATCAAGACGATTTTTGATGACGTATCAACTATAGATTTCAATACATATACAATTAAAAGCTCTTAGGCCCTCATTTCATTTCCCAAACTCCTATAAGATTTTATTATTTGGTAGCTAAATGCTTGCTTATGGTTGATCACAAAGTTGAGCTAAGATAAGACATTGTGCTAATAGCAAATATAAAGATACTAAAAAAAGTGCACGCTTTGTTTACTAAATCTAACACACCATGGGAAGATGCTTGCATGAATTAGGTTTTTGTATCATGTGATTTATTTTAATCATGGGAAATTTACATACATACAACTTTGTAACATCCTATTTACATATCTAACACCTAAAATTTTAATATTACATGCATACCACCTTATATTATTTTAATATCAAATATACCACTTATATTTCTTTCCCACCACTCATATATTTCATTTCTACCACTCATATTTTATATGAAAATGAACTATGATTGGTATATATGTAATATTAAAGTTTCAAGTGTTAAATATGTAAATAGAATAGTATAAGGTGGTATGTATGTAAATCTCCCTTTAATCATTCACAAATTTGATGTTTGGGTTACCTCTGTCTAACATTTCTCTCACAATATTTGTAATTGTAGGTTTTGAGCATCATGCAAAGGGGAAAAAAATGCTATAATTTGTGGTAGTTTAAACCAATGTAAAATTGGAGTGATTGCAATAAGTTCAATCTCCTCAATTTTATAATATTATCAATGCTTTAAGATGTTGCTATTATTGCAATTTGCAGTACTAATTTAGATCGCTGGCTTGACGAGTAATATAAATTGCTGTAAAAGGCTCATCCTTAGGCTTCATTTGGATTAACACAGTTTTTTAGTTAAAAATTTAAAATTTTTGTACTAAAAAGTTGTTTTAATAAGCAATAAGAAAGCCGTCCCAAACGAAACCGTAGTGATTTCAAAATTGTTGCAAAAAAGGCTTTAAAAAAAAAAAAACAGTTACAAACTATTTTGCAGGGGTTATTAACTCTAAAATTGCAAAAATATTACATAAAGTATTGCAAAAATCTATTTTTTAATATATCACACTCTACAGAAATTTCACCTGTAAACCTCCACCATTGAATATTAACGTTTCACATAATAGCTCCTCATGTTATACCTGTTTATTTCATTTCTTGGCAATGGAAATAAAGTAAAATATAGAAAGAAAAAAAAATAAATCAAAATGAATAACCATTAAATTTATTTTAAATAAATAACCTTTAAATTTATATTTTTATTAATTTAAATTTTATATAACATTCATCTCAAAAATAAATTTAACATATTTAAAATATATTCTAATAAAAAATTTATTCAAATCATTATAATCCTTTTTCCTCAAAAAAAAAAAAAAAATCTGACATTTATTTTTTTATTTTTATTTTTCTTCTTCTTTCCAATATGGAAAATAATCTCTTAAAACATATTAATATGATTAGCAAAATAATAAATTATATCAACATATCATCATTACTTAGCTCTCAAGCTAAAATTTTCTTCTGAGATCTTTATAAATTAGGGTTAGGGTTCCATGGGGGGTAACTAATGCCTAAGCATTAGGGAAGATGGAGACAATTACAAGCAGGGAATAGACCCTTCAACCTAAAGCATCTTCCACCTATCTTTATTCTATTAAAATTAGTACCAATCAACCAACTAAAAAAATAATGAATTGTCAGCATAATGCTCCAACTTCATTCATGTATGCTCACTTGTCCTTATTACTATAAAAAATTTTATTCTTAATGATTGCATTATATACAATTCACTATGATATTATCAACAAAATTTTATTTGCATAATGCACCTCCATCTCTAATTATTCATTTTTTTAATCAAAAAATATTATAAAAATGAGATTGTAGAGGTCTATTAAGGTTTAACATAAATAATTTTATCCTTCTATTACAAAGAGATTATTTTTATACCTCAAACTAATGACCACTGAGTTATAATAAAAAAGTAAATACCGTTTCTCCCTTAAATCAGACTTTAAAAGAATATTATATTGCCTGTAATAAGGATTTCAGGGTGTTTATTGCATAGATCTATGACTAAATAGGATGGTGGAAAGTTAGTGGTGTTGGTGGAAGACCACACCTTTGTATCATAAGGCTCAAACCATGTGGCTTCCCTAATGCATAGTAGCATTTGTTAAAGAATGTAGTAGTTAAAAATAAACATGGGGGAATAAAACAAATTATCTTCTAACATTTATTATTAGGAAGGAGTTAAAATATTTCATTAGTTTGTATAAAATAAGAAATCACATTTGTTCTTTTACTACTTTATAGTACATGAAGCAATGAAAGGGTGTAGAAGAAAGTTAAAAAGCCTTCAAAGGCTATTCTATTTGCTTAGAAAGAGTCCAAAACCAAGAGGTTAAGAAACTTTGCCTTAGCTTTATTCCCTATTCTCTAATTGAATTTAATAAAAAAAAAAAAGTTTTTTATTTTATAATTGTGTAAAAATGTCACCAAAGTTCCCCTAAAAAAATATTAAAAAGAAAAAATCTCTCTCCTTAAATATTCAATTGAAGCATCTTATTAGTTATAATCATTTATATTAATATCAACCTCTTATATATATCCACAAACTACGTTTTAATTTTTCATATTTTTGCCATTATTTTAGAAAAATAGTCAACAAAAAAATTTGGTGATAACTTCTCCTTACAAAAATCCAAGATAAAAAATTAATGATATTAATTAATAACTAAAGGTTTGATTTTTCTACTTGATAAATGAATTAACTCAAATTATAAATATTTTATAAGTTATTTAAATTAATAAATTGCCTATTTAATAACCATTTTTCAATAATTAGTAGAAGAAAATCTCATTTATGAAAAATTCTAGTTCTTTTTAACAATGTTTTCTCAAAGAAGATATGTTTACCTTAAGCACAGTACACATAATATTCAACTATTCACACTTTTTAATAGGACTTTTTGTTTTCATAGTTTACATTTTCCATATCATTTTTTTTAATTATTAAGGAGCTATTAAAAAATTATTTTAAAGTCAAATTGTGGATATAACTAAAATAAAATGTTACAATTTTTTTTCAACACTCGACTAATTTTGATAGCTTTTTTCTAAAACTCATAAAAGCTAAAAAGTAATTATATTTTTTTTTAAAAAAAATTAATTTAGAATTTCTTATATATATTTTAATCAAAATGAGACTCCTAATTATTAAATTTTTTTATGATATATATAATATACATAACATAATTAAAATTAATTTATATTTTTTTTTAAAAGTAATAATTTTAAAACTCATCTTGATAAAAATTTTAATCAAATATTCTAAATAATATATTTTTTCTTAAATTATCTCCCTTAAAACTTTACTCTATTATTAAAAATTCAAAGGTTTAATAAGAGAAATGATCACTAACCTAATCTTTTGTACTCTTCCATCTTTTTCTCCTTTTGTTTTTTTTTTAATTTCAATCCAACTGCCTCAGTCCACCACCACACCTCATTTCCAACCCTTTTCTCTTTTTTAAAAGAGATTATTACATATGTTAAGCACATCTTACTCTAAGCACTTAAAATTATGTATTATTTTATAAATATATAAAATTATGAATTAATAAATTATGTCAAGAGTATCTTACTCAAAGTTCATAAAATAATATATTATTATTAAATATTTCTTAATAAAAAGATTTAATATATTTATTTCTTAAAGAATTCATTGTATATTGAAATTGTGAATATAATAATTATTTTTTTAAATTAAAAAATGACCTTCATAAATATTAATGTCACACGTGATATTTCAAAATATTTTAAAAATAAATATATTAAAAATATAATTTATTACTGTATAATTTTTAGTGCTTGTTGTGCCTCTATATATTAATTTCTATCCAATCGAGGGAGGCATATACTTCTTTGGGAGGAGACCATTCCCGTTATCTCTTCACAATAAAAATCTATCAAAATCTGCACGCAGGGGCATAATCGTAAATATATCTATTTTCTCTCCACTGTCTTCTACCTTTTTTACAATCTATCAAAGGCTCAAAGCCCACCCCCTCACCCTCTCTCCTCCCTATTCTAAAGGTCCTCCTTTTCGCTTTCCTCCTTGATTCTTGCTCCAAATTCTCTTCACGGTCTTCAACATCTCGGCATTTTCTTCTCTCTCTGCCTTCTCCGCCATCACTGTTTGGTAAAGGAGGGGACTTTGTCTGTCGACGGAGATGAACTGCGGAACGCCTTCGCCGGATCAGCTTCGTCCGGCTTTGGGCCTCTCGAGCTTTAATTGGAACCAGTCTATGGATTCATTGAGCCCCATTTTTCCCTTGCCCGCCTCCGGCGAGATCTCTAGCTTCATGGGCAATCCCCTCAATTCCATGCATGTCAACCGTTTGATGCAATTTCCTGCAGACCCGGGGTTTGCGGAGAGAGCGGCGAGGTACTCTTGCTTCAGTTCAGCCAACTATGGAGCATTTTCCGGCGTCTCGGAGGCCGCCGGTAAGCCCTCTAGGGTTTCGAGTGGCCATTGCCTAAAAGCTAAGGAAAGCCGCATGCAGCTGGAGATGGGAGATGGAGAATTTGGAAGTGGTAAGGAGGACTCATCGGTGACGGATCCAGCATCCGTTCTTGGAGAGAGCAGTGCGAAGAAGAGGAAAGCAGCAGCCAAGAGGAAATTAAAGGTGTGGTTTTTGGAATTGTGAGAATTTTCGCTCTGTAATTTGGGATGATATTTAAAGTTTGAGAATTTTCTCTTTATAGGTGACAGTTGAAAATGATTTAATTGCAAAGAAAAGCCGGTCTGCGGAGAGTACTGAAATTGAAAAGGATAGTGGTATGCCTAAAGAAGAACAGAATGTTGATGAGAAGAAACAGGGAAAGGATGATGGAACAAAGGCCTCTGAGCCTTTCAAAGATTACATCCATGTCAGGGCAAGAAGAGGCCAAGCAACAGATAGTCATAGTCTTGCAGAAAGAGTATGTTTTGCCAGTATTTATGTGTAAAAATCCTATCTTGACATCTTTTCTTTGAGCTTATGGGCAGTGTTTGCCACTATTTGCAGGTTAGAAGAGAGAAAATCAGCCAGAGAATGAAGCTCCTTCAAGATCTTGTGCCAGGTTGCAACAAGGTAATTATGCTTTAGGCTGTCTGAAATTTAATATTTGGTCAATGGAAACACTTTTTACTTAATAATTTGCTTTTGATGAACTTTTGTCTGACAGATAACTGGAAAAGCTCTCATGCTTGATGAGATTATAAACTATGTGCAGGCATTGCAGCGGCAAGTTGAGGTAAAATATTAGAACAAAATGATCTGAGTTGCATATGAATTGTACTTTATTTAATCTCTTCCTTATGATTATATCTATTTCCTTGTCTTTTGCTGTAGTTTCTTTCAATGAAGCTAGCCACAGTGAATCCCGGGCTTGAGTTCAACTTGGAAAATCTCTTCGCCAAAGAGGTTAAGAACTGTTATCTCGTCTATTTACTACCAATTTAGGCTTGGCTGGGACGGCTTTCTTATTGCTTCTTAAGCAGCTTTCTAGTATAATTTTTTTTAATTAAAAATATGCTTTAAGAAGCAATAAGTAAGCAGTCCCAAATGAAGCCTTAGCTAATATGCTTCCTAAACATGGATTCTGTTTACAGTCTCTTTTGAACCAAGAAAATGCTTCTTTCTCAAGCTCACTTTACCCCATGGAAAACTTATCTGCTTCAATTAATTTTGGTCACCAGTCCAATGAGGAAAGCCCTATACCTTTTACTCTGGCAAATGGAATTGACACCCATTGTTCAATTGGTCAATTAGATTCTATTCTTCATCAAGCTGCACTCATGCAATCATCCCTTGATATGTTTGGAAGTTCTGCCTCTCAGGTACTGAAGTGCTAGTAAAACAAATTACAAGTGTAATATGGAACCCATTCAGAGATATATTTGATATTAATTTTATTTTATTTCTCTTACAGGTTGAGAATCTTTGGGATGATGAACTCAATACTGTTCTCCAATCAAGCTTTGGACAGAACCAGGAGATTGGAGCCCCCTCTCAGAGCTTTCATGGTAATTATTTTACAGTTTGATGTTCTAACCGTTATGAATATAGCCGTTCAAGGTAATTTATAATTGTAAATGATCTTTACAGGGCAGTTGTCCATACCCCACATGAAGATTGAGCTCTAATCATATCGGTTTGAAGTCGAATTGCAAGAATTCTTTGTATATATAGAGCGAGATCAGCTTGGAATGGTCATAGAATGATCAAAACTGACGATTTAAGTAATTACTATAATTTCCTTCTAATTTTCCCTTCTCCCCTACTTGGGTTATTGATTATTATTAAGAATTTGCTTAGTAGCTGTTCTGATATTTTGTTAGGCTAATGTCATCCTGTGGTGCAATTTATGCCTCAACACCACATGTAAGATGTAATTTGGAAAGAGAGAGAGAGAGAGAGCAAATGAGAGAGGGTGGTGGGATAATTTGTTACCATTGAATCCACTTTGTTGTATTAAAAAAGTTCAGAATACTGCTATCAAATTATGGTGTTTTTAATGCTATTTTCCTCAATTTCCTGCTGGATTTGTGAAAGCTGTGAAGCTTGCTGATGAGATGGATTCCTTATTGGTGGAATGATTTGCGGAATTGGCTGTTGAAGTTGAAGGAACCGATTGGGTTCTTATCTTTCAATTCCTTGAAAAGGACCTTACAGAATAAAACCTTAAGAATTCCTCTTTTCTTCTGCCTACTGACTTTTGCCTCAGCCAGCTAGCTCTGTAAAAAATAAGTATGTGTATCTTTTCAAACTTTGACTAATTTAACAGATTATGAGGAAGTTTAAGGAACTTCTTACTCATTTTGGATGCTAGAAAATTGAGCTTCTTACTCTTAAAATTAAGTTAAAGTTTTTTTTTTTTAGACTACATTTTATAAAATTGATCGAAGTAACTTAATTAATCTAGTTCTAAAAAATAGTTTTTTATTACAGAGATTTTTTAAAATTAGTGAGAAAATTGTAAAAAAATAATTGTCCAATGAATTTATAATTGTTTGAAAAGAGGCTGCTCCTTCTAGGCTTATGAATGATTCTATGGGAGTATTGGGAGATGCTATAATTCTTATTGTTAGTAGTGTTGTTATTAAGCAGATTTTTAATGACCTTGATAAGGGCATTGTGAGTGTTTCTACAGTTAATCCTTCTTTCACTGATAAAAATGATGTGGTAAACCATATTCTTGATAAACCCCTACTAAATGAAGAGAGTGCTTCCTCTTCTTAAGATATCCATGCTGTTATTCCTAACTTAAACTTTCCTTCTAGGGATCCCCCTTCCTCTTATGTTGCATTTGCAACTTTGGTTGGAGATTCTACCTGGTTGCACATCTCTAATAAATTTGTTTTACTTAATAATATTGAAGCTTCCATGGTTGTTGTAGCCTCGGTCCCTACTGTGCAAGTTCAATGGTCTATTAATACTAGATTTAGGGATGACATAAATGCTCTCAAACAAAATAGAAAGACTCAATGATTAAACCTAACATTACTGTTTGTAATGTTTATGATTTTAATAACCCTGATAGAGTTATGATGTGTAAGGATCTTGCAGGTTTTTATAAACTTGATTTAATCTATATTTTTTAATGACCTTGATAAGGGCAATCTTACGGTTCATAATAAAGTTTCTACAGTTAATCCTTCTTTCACTGATAAAAATGATGTGGTAAACCATATTCTTGATAAACCCCTACTAAATGAAGAGAGTGCTTCCTCTTCTTCAGACATCCCTATTGTTATTCCTATTTTAAAATTTCCTTCTAGGGATCCCCCCTCCTCTTATGTTGCATCTCCAACTTTTGTTGGAGATTCTACATGTTTGCACATCTCTAATAAATTTGATTGACTTAATAATATTGAAGCTTCCATGGTTGTTGTAGCCTCGGTCCCTACTGTGCAAGTTCAAGGGTCCATTAATACTAGATCTAGGGATGACAAAAAGGGTCTCAAACAAAATAGAAAGACTCAATGATTAAATCTAACATTACTGTTTGGAATGTTTATGATTTTAATAACCTTGATAGAGTTATGATGTGTAAGGATCTTGCAGGTTTTTATAAACTTGATTTAATCTATATTTTGGAAGCCAGGATCCTTAATTATTCTCTTGACAATGCTTGGTTTTCACCTTCTCATATGGTCTTTAGAATAGAGAATAGTTGTAATAACTTTGGTTTAAGCTCTCATGGTCATACATTAGGTTAAGTGGAATTCTCTTTCTATTAACTTTATTGATATTTGCATTGATAGCCAATTTATTCATGGGGAAATTTGGTTTAATGGTTGCTTTTTCTACTATTTAAATTTCATTTATGCTTCTAATTCTCTTTATGAAAGAGATTTGCTCTAGAAGTAACTTATTAGAATTGAGAGTGATATCTCCAAACCTTGGGCTATTGTAGGTGACTTCAATTGTTGCAGGTATCCTAATGATAAGGTTGGGGGCACCCTGTGGCCATTAGTATGCTTTGGACCTTTATCAATATGATTTTTATTAATGTTCTACATGATTTGACATCATTTGGTTTGTTTTACACCTAGCATAATCATAGGGTTGATTATCCCATCCATATTAAACTTGACAGTGTGGTGGTGAATAATTTGTCTAAAGAATTTTCCTTTGTCTTTTTATAAAGTCATTAATTGCCCTTTATATTCTTATCACTCCCCTTTGATTTTAGATTTTAATAACAATGTGTCTGTTAATAATAGATTTATGTTTAAAATTTTCCTGTCTAATTATCATAACTATTGGGATGCTCTTATTTTTTTTCTTTTTCTTTGAATTAAAATGGTGAACTTATTAATATTTGGTATATTATTATTATTAATCTTAAAAGGAAGATTAAATTTAAGCATTGGTCTTCTTCATCTCTTCTTGCTTCCAAAGTCTCTAATTTGCAAATTCAACAAAAACACTATTTGGACTTACTTAATTGTAACCCTTTATCTTAGTCTCTCAATTCTTAGTCGAACTCTATTAATGAAAAAGCTCTCTTTCCACCATGTCTCCTTGGCCTCCTGGATTATCCAAAGAGACAAGACCAAGTGAATTCTGCATGATAAGGATGATCTAAATTTTCTTTACGACAGAATTAGGGTAACACAAAATTATATTGTTATTAAGAGTATTACTATTGATGATGGAAGATTTTCTTCCCCCCATTGATATCAGTCATACCCTTATCTCTCATTTTGCTAAGTTATTCAATTCTACTTCTAAAGTTTTTGACATCCAAGGAAATCTCCTTGTTGGCTCTACTATCTTTGTTCATCTTATCTCCGAGTTAATTGCTCCTGTCACTAATGATGATATTAAAAGAGCTATTTTCTCCAATCCTAACTCTTTTACCCCTGGCCCTGATGGCTACACCTTTGAGTTTTACAATAAATTTTGCATATTAGTGGCAATAAGGCTTGTAAGGTCATTAAGAATTTTTTTCTCACATCCTTTCTCCTTAAAATAAATAAAGACCATTATTATTGCCCTTATTCCCAAAGGGCCTCATGCCTCCCATATCAAATATTTCAGGCCTACTTCCTTATGTAACATTTTTTATAAAATTATTGCCAAAATCTTATTTTTGAGGCTCAAACGTATCATGCCCTACATTATTCACTCTAGTCAATCTGGGTTTATCAATGGAAGAATTTCCACTGATAATATTATTCTTGCTTCTAATATCCTTTCTAATTATAATTATCAAGGAAAGTCCAAATATTTTGCGCCAAGATTGATATTTTTAAAACATTTATCATTGTTTCTAGAACTTTTCTTTTTCATGGGGAACTTCAAAAAGGATTCCCTAAGTCCTTTATTTCTTGGATTCAAGCTTGCATTTATGATGTTCCATTTTCCATTTGTTATAATGAGAGTTTACATGTTTTTCAATTCTTCCTTTGACTTTAGGCAAGGCCATCCCTCATCTCCCTATATCTTTTGCATCATCTTGGATGCTTTCTCTAATCTTATTGATAATTGCAATGAAACTTCTCTTTTTCAAGGCTTTAAACAGGCTATTTCTTTCATTTCCCATTTATTTTATGCTGATGATTTACTAATCTTTGGTAAAGCTACTTTAGATAATGCTCGAATTTTAGCGGACAACTTGCTTATCTTTAAAAATGCTTCTATGCATAGTATAAATCATGGCAAGAGTGCAATTTTCTTCTCTAAAGATAGTGTTAACCAAGGAAATTGTAATTTACTTAGGTTTTCTCTGACGGATGGCTTCTTTAAATATCTAGGTATTCCCATTACTACCATGAGACTTAATTAGAGTGGCTAACTTCTCTCCCTTATTGCATAAAATTACTAATATGTTAGAGGGTTGAAAAGCAAAACTTTTATCTTTCGCTTTTAGAATTTAGTTTATCAAGTTTAGTATTTGGAATTCAATTGCCTTTGTTGCAAATTTATTGATAAGTGTTGTGCCATATTCATTTTTCATGGTGATATTATTGGCAAAAAGCTTCATCTTATGTCCTCGAGGAAAATTTGTTTACCCAAGAATTTAGGTGGTCTTGGTCTTCCTTCAATTTTTTGCTCTAATCTATGCTTATTCTTCTTCTTAGATTTGGAAATGCATCTCTTGTGACTCCATTCTTAGTTGCTGGTTTAAGAACTCTTATATCTCTTTCTCGAAGCCTATTTATGGGAAAACTTCAGCCTTCTAGAAGCATTTGGTTAAGGTGGCTACTTTGATTAAACTAAATATTTCCTTCAACATTGTTGTTGGCAATAGTACTGCTCTTTGGTGGGGTCCTTGGTGTGCTAGAAAATATATGGCTGAGATATCTCCTGGCTTTGTTGTTGTTCTCCCTTCTAATTCTAATGTGGCTAATATTATATCTGCTAGGATTTGGTCTTTACCTCAGGCTTTACCCCCTTCTCTTCATAACTCTATTTTTGTTATTAGTATTCCAATGCTAGTTCTAACTCTCCTTTATGATATAATAATAAAAATCTTACTTTTAAAACCTTTCTTTTCAATTGTTATCAAAGTTATGAAGAGGTTGATTGTTTCAATTTTATCTGGCATAAAGATATTGTTTGGGGTTCTCTTCTTTCAGTTGGCTTGCTTTGGTGGGTGGACTTAAAACTACTGATCAACTTAATTTAATGAACACCCCTGCTAATCCTATCTGCCCTCTTTGCAACAGTTGCGATGAATATATTCCCCACATATTTTATGAATGTGATTTTTTTCTTTAACATTATAAAAAAAATCTTATTGGGAGTTGTTATTTTTTTTGTTCATACCTTTCTAAGAATTATGAATTTTACTATTATTTAGCCATTTGTGCTTCAATCTACTACATTTGGCATGAGCATAATAGCATAAGGTATGGTCATTCTCATACCTGTTTAAATACTATTGTGTTATTGATTAAAGCCAAATTTCTCTTTTGAAGAATTATGAAAGCAATTTAATTTTTTATTATTATTTATGTTCTATTTTATCTGGTTATGTTGCATTTCTGCTATGGATCTTTTAGCTTTTGTGTATGTTGTTGCGG